TTTCTGAGTGTTGGGAATCTAGGAGCAGTTTGGCTGGGTGGTTTGGCCCAGGATCTCTGAGGAGAGTGCAGTCAAGGTACAGCCTGAAGGCCTGACCAGGGCTGGATGAATAGCTTCCAAGGTGACTCCCTCCTTGGCTGCTGGCAAGAGGCCTCAACTCCTTGCCACGTGGACCTCACTGTGGGACTGTTTGAGCGTCCTTACTTGTATGGCCGCTAACTTCTCCCAGAGAGAGTGACCTAGGGCAGAGAAAGAAGAAAGCTGCCAATGCCTTTTATAAGCCCACCTTTGAAGCTACGCAGTCACTTCTGCCATAGTCTCTGTGTTAGAAGTGAGTCACAAAGCACAGCCACGCTCAAGGGGAGTGGAATCGGGCTGCACTTTTTGAAAGGAGAAGTGTCAAACAATTGGCAGACATATTTTAAAATCACCAGAATGAGAATTATCTTTTATTATTTTCTGTTGCTCAAGATCTTTCTAACCAGCAGAACTACCCAAGGATGGAGCAGGGTGCCTCAAAGGATGATGTCCTTCCATCACTGGGGCATGTAAGCCAAACAGAACAATTTGACAACTATGATATATGGAGGGAGTTTTAATATCAGCCAAGGTTTGGGACTCTGGAGTTGAACTATTTAGATAACTCCCAGAGCTCATTTCTGTTGTATTGTCATTTGTTCCTAGTTGTCCATATCTTCTGGATCACCAAGAAAAGTCCATGATTGGCTCTCTCAGATGTACAAAGTGAGCTTCTGATAACCATGGCATCTTCGGCCAGAATGGGGTCTCAGAGCCACCAGCTCCAGGTCGCAGCTCAGTTCCACCTGAGTCATTGATTGGTTATTTTGTTAAATAGTAAATCTGATCATCTTCTCATCAGATTGATCATATTTGGTCATAGTAAAGGTGGGAAGACACAAGAGCTGCCATACACCAGCGAAGGCTACATCAGCATTTGTAACCTTTTGGAAGTGTATTCACAACTTTAATTCAAAAATATGCCCGTCTTTCAACTGAGCCAGTCCATATCTCCATGTCCAACCTAAAGAGTACTCCACCATCTCCCCTGCAAAGCCCACTGCCATATTGTTTGTAACAAGGAGAAATGAGAGCCAAGTAAATATCCATCTGTACCATGGCATCCCTTGAAGCAGTTCAAAAGAATGAGTTAGTTCCCTAGCTACTGAGTTGGAAAGATCTTCAGAAAATATTAAATGGAAAAGGGAAGTTGCAGAACAATAACTATAGTATGAATCTATTTAAAGAAAAAAAATTTTTTTTAAATCTGTATATTTCTGTTATCTATTTCAAGCATAGAAAAAAAAATGCATAGGAATACACCCCATTGGCTGTGGTGGTTACTTCTGTGGAAAGAGGGTAGGGTTGGGGATAAACGGTGTGAACGGAAAACTCACTTGACTCAATCTGCTTAGTATCATTTGAATTTTTAATAATGAGATAGTTATTTACAAGTTATTTAATTCTGAAGAAAATCTGAAGGGAGGCAAGAGTTCTTTCCCCAACACCCTCCCCCTGGCTCTGCTGCCAGAGACTGTTGTTCTTGGCATGAGAGGCCCCTTGGTGTCCCCCCAAGAGGCTTCTAATTGCCTTTCACCCGATGTTGAGGTCGCCTCCTCATTTTTTTTATGCCATCCAAGCAAGCTATTCATAGACTCACAGAACGCAGGCCCCAGAGGCCTTAAAGGTCATGGAGTCTAAGCTTTCCCCGTTTATGATGACATCTAGGACACCCTTACAACACACAGTCTGCCCTTTATTTGCACACCTCCAGGACGGTCAGTCTACTCTCTTACCAGGCAGTTCCTCCTGTGTGTAGGCACTGCCGATAATTAGATCGCAACCCTGCGTGCTGAACCAAACTCCATCTGCCTGCAGCTCTCCTCATCAGCCGTACTTCTGCCTTCTGAGTTCTCTCAGAGGCCACCGAGTGAGGTGGGGACTCGCACAGACTCTGGAGCCAACTGCCTGTGTTCAAGTCCTGGTTCTGCCCCTGACAAGCTCTGTGATTGGGAGGAAATTCCTTAACAGTGCTGTTCTTCATGTTCTTTGTCTGTAAGATGGAAGGTACGATAATAGTACATATTCCATAGGTTGATAGTGAGGCGAAAGTGAGCTAGTGTATGTGAGGTGCTTATGACAGTGCCTGGCACAAGAATCACTCAATATTGCGTTGTCGGAAAAGTCATGACGTATTTTTTGCCATGAAAAACAGAGAAAAAATACGTCATGACTTTTCCGACAACCCAATAGTAAGTATTTGTAAAATAAGTAAGAGACCCAAGTCTTAGTCCTGACTTCACCCCAGGGCCTCTTCTCTCATCTCTGAGATGATTGAGTCCTTCTAGTCTTAGAGTTCCTGGAGAAAGGGAGAGCCTGAGAATGAAGAAGTGTGACACTTCTTAAGATGTATGCACATTTTTGGTTTCATTCCTTAATGTAAAAATGATGGTTTGGGTCCAAGATGAACACGCCAGGAAGACTAGCCACTATTATCTAATGGACTCCTGTATCCTCTCGCATACACATACACCCAGACACATTTGCATGTATTCCAGGGATATTGGGTGATAGTTTGAGAATGTGGGCCTAGAGGATCCTCTGAAGTCCTTCCAGCCCCAGGCCAAGGTCAAGCCTTGGCTGTCATTAAGCGGAGGCAGCACAGCCTAGCTTCCATCTATACATGGGCTCAGTTTACTCTTCGCCAAGATGGAGGTGCCAGTTCCTGCCTGCCCTGCTCACCTCCCTGGGATGTAGGGAAACTGAATGGGGACAGTTTGCATTGGAGTATTTTGTACTATAGACTAAGCAACATGATTTATCGTCTTTGCAGAAGCCGTCCTGGCAGCCCCTGACAGCCCCTCCACTCGGGGAACCTGTGCTTTCTGAGACTCGCCCATCCTGAGCTCTAGCACAGCTCTCTCAGCAAGTGACCTCAAGGAGAGGCCTGGCTTCCTGCTAAGCGGGGTGGGCGGGGGACCTGCCAGTCCTTCTTGGGGCCTCAGAAAATCTCTGTACCATCTGCCAGGCCAAGCTGGCAAAAGTGGAGGGCTGTGCTGAGTCCTCCAAGGACTGGCCTGAGCTCTTCCTAGCACTTTCAGAAGACTTGCCAGATGGGCTGGTGGAATTTCACCAATGTCCCTCTGCCTGCCCTAGTCAGCGATCCCAGCCCCATCTGAACCCAGATGAGCTCCGGCGAACTCAGAATAACCTGGGAGGAGTTCTCCCTCAAGATCTCAACTGTGGTTCCATGCTTGTCCCTTTGGATGCTGGGTTGATGTATCTTCTCAACCTTCCTGTACACCAAGCCTGTTCCTATTTCCTCCATTCAATCCAATTCCTTGACCTTGACCTAGCGATACTGGGTACTATGTGTTATCCTACGGCTCATAGTCTGTGGTAGCACCATCCAAAAGAACTTTCTGTGATACTGGAAATATTCTGTATCTGCATTGAGCAACATGGTAGCCAGTGGCTATTGCGCACTTGATATGTGGCTAGTGTTACTGAGGAATAAATTGTATTTAATTTTAATTATTTAAATTTAAAGTAAAAAAAAACAGTCTAATTAGAAATGGGCAGAAGATCTGAATAAACATTTTTCCAAAGACGACATACATATGGCTAACAGGTACATAAAAAGATGCTCAAAGTCACTAACCATCAGGGGAATGCAAATCAAAGCCACAATATCAGTTCATGCCTCTTAGAATAGTCATCAAAAAGACAAGACATAACAAGTGTTAGCAAGGATGTGGAGAAAAGGGAACCCCTGTGCACTGTTAGAATGTAAATTGGTGCAGCCACTATGGAAAGCCATATGTAGGTTCCTCAAAAAATTAAATATAAAACTATCATATCCAAGCCTCATCAATGCATATATAGGTGTGTGGAAAATATAAGTAACTTTACATACATATGACCTATTTTGTAACCTTTTTTTTTTTCTCTCTACTCAGTATTGTTTCATGGCCATTTTTTCAGGCCTGTGACCAAACATTTGCATCATCATTTTATAGCTACCCATGTTCTGTTATAAACTGTTAGAAACCGTCATTTATTTGAGCAACTCCCTACTGATGAATATTTAAGTTGTCTCCCATTTTCCCGCTACTATTATAAACGAGACTGATGAACATCCTCACCATATTCTCCCCAGTGCCGCGTATTGTCAGGTTTTATTCCCTTTTAATCTTTGTCAGATGATCACTACAGATTTGGGGGTAGGGAAACCACCGACTTTAGGGAGCTAGCTCTGGTATTCCCAACTTCCTGTGTGACCTTGGGCAAATAATCCTTTTCCCTCTCCAGGCCTCAGCTTCTTCATTTGTAAATTGAAGATTAGTCTAAATGACTGATTATCAAACCTGGCTCTATATTGGAATCACCTGGGTAAAACACACACCTGAGCCTCACTCCCAGAGATTCTGATTCAATTAGTATGGGGGAATAACCCGAGCAGCAGGAGTTTTAAATCTCCTTGGGATGAGGTGATTCGAAGGTCCTTCTTGCTCAAATATTCTAGGAAGGCTGCTGTGGGCCAGTGGAAAGATCTGTTCTTGGTGTCCAGCGGTTTGAATCCCAGCTCATTTCCTCCTGGCTGTGTGACCTTTCACCTTCTCCAAACTTCCACTTCCTGCTCTTGGAGGCGGGGTTAAATCCCTGTCCGCCACTCAGGGTCTCTTCATGTAGAGCAGTGGTTCTCAACCTGTGGGTCGCAACCCCTTTGGGGGTCGAATGACCCTTTCACAGGGGTCGCCTAAGACCATCAGAAAACAAAAAGGTATTTACATTACGGTTCATAACAGTAGCAAAATGACAGGTATAGAGTAGCCACGCAAATAATTTTATGGTTGGGGGTCACCACAACATGAGGAACTGTATTAAGGGGTCGCGTGAGGAAGGTTGAGAACCGCTGAGTGGAGGTTTAGGTTCTGCACAAATGGAATGAGTGGTGACTGTTGTTCTTTTCTTGACCAAAGAGCCAGCCCCTGGGCAACAAAGTGGAAATGGAAATTGTAAGCATGTTGGAAAAGAACACAACGCTCCTGAAATTCGGCTACCACTTTACCCAGCAGGGGCCCCGGCTGCGGGCATCCAACGCCATGATGAACAACAACGATCTTGGTGAGTGGAAACGTACTCCCTGCCCGCCTGCCTGTCATCTTTCCACCTGCCCTGGGGGGTCTGGCAGGGACAATTCCACTGATACTTTCTCCGGGGAGTCCTCTTAGTGAGCCTGACTCCTGACTTTCACGTTGGTCATGTTTGTTTTCTGTGTTTGTGCCCTGTCTCCCCGCTAGGCTGTGAGCACCCTATGTTAGGGAGCCAATGCTGGGCCCTCTCCTTCCCGAAGCGAAGCTCAGCTCAGCTCAGCTCAGCTCAGCTCAGCCCAGGGCTGGGCCCAGAGGGCACTCTCAGTGAAATGTAACCTGGGAGGGCACAAGGCTCACCATGAGTTTTCTCCTCATTTGAACACCCTTCTCTGAACTCAGAGTCCTAGCCAGGTCACAGTCTGGCTCGAGCCCTGATCCTAAAGCCCCCAACCAGCACTGCTACCCAAACTCCAAGCCTAGGAGACTTCTTGTTGCTTTTAAGGTAAAAGTTACAAATGTTGACTTCATAGTAAACAGGTTACATTAATGTAATCTCTGTTAAAGGCATAGTTTATGTTGTTTTCTAAAAAGAAAAAAAGAAACTGTCACAATCTTTCTTATGGGCATACACCAAATAGTCAGTTGAATGAAAAGTGAGATCAGTCCTCTACTTGTTTTCAGATGTCAATTGTCCTCAAGTTCTGTGGGTAGTTATTTATTATGTGTTTTCCTGCTGGCTGCTAAAAGAACTTGATTATAGTATCCAAAAAGAGTGTGTCCAAGAAGGCTATAGGAAAATAAGAGAAAAAAAAACAAAACGAGAAATGAACTAGGTCTAATATGGTAACATAATTATTATATTTAGCTGTGGCTTTCCTAGAGCCAACACAGGAGGAAGGCAAACCAAGTGACATCATTCTTATTACACGAGAGAAGGAAGCATAACGAGCTAAAAAGAAAGCAAGCTAGCTGCGTCCTGGGATTGAATTATGAAATAACTCTGTTTTCTAAAGGACAATGTCTGCAGTGAGTTTTCCCATCAAATTCAAACCTGCTCTGCATGTGGCTTTTGTGGTGGTGGTTTGTTTTGTTGCTAACACTCAGTAAAATACAAAGAGCCTAATACCTAAGCACACCTCAAAGTCCAGGTATGTTACTTCCTGGAGATGAGGCTGAGGCCAGGTGAATGCATGAAAGGAAGGCCTGGAAGAATGGAGGTGAGTGTGTAGGTGAGTGTGTAGATGAGTGTAGGTGTGCATGCACATGGCAGGTACTCCCAGAACCTCTCATAGATAACCACAGCTACACACACCCCCACCCCCACCCCCCGCTCCAGATTGAATTAGTCAATTCAACAAACATTTGTCGAAGTCCCATGGCGCACTAGGTGTTGAAGATACAGGTTCCTGCTCTTCAGGATATCACTGCCCAGAGGCTAGTCATTCATTACTCACTCCACAGGGCACTTCTTTCCTAGAGCTGCAGGTCTAGAAAAGTCCATAAAAAAACAACAACAAGAAAACAAATGCACCCGGTGTCTTGGTGTATCTGAAGTGCCCTTATTTGCAAGAAAATAAGCACAAACACAAATAACTCAGAATCATAATTACTATGGTGTAACAGAAGCGACAGCTACCCTGAGTTTTGTTAAGGAAGGCCATCAGCCTAAACTCTATTGGCCCAGCTATGATCTGGCTTCAGCATGAGCACTTACAAGTAAAAGTCTTGAGTTCTATTCTGATATGCAATAGCCTCACATTGTTTTCCTCCCAGTTTAGATTAAGCCTCCCATGTGTCCCTCGGTGCCTATTTCGGGGCTAATCCGGCTTTGGTCTTCCAGTGGCAAGATGGTCTGGAGGTCTTTTTCCTGGGGACAGAAGGTTCCAGATGACCAAAGATCAGGGGTGCTGTAGGGGATTTATTAAAATCAGCTGGAGGTTGAATGAAATGGCCCTTGAGAACTCTCCCAGTCCTGGGAATCTGTGATTCCAAAATCCAGGGCCAACTTCTATCACCAGGCACTTTCTGAGGTTTATGGCAGGATCTGAGAGTGCCAGAGCTGGAAGTGACTTCCGGCCCATCCCTTCAGTTCCCTTATGGAGAAAGCGAAGCCTGGGAGGGACTGCCCTTCCAGGCAGTGGCTCAGCCAAGACATACCAGTTGTTAGTTAGAGCAAGTCATTTTAGAAAATCTTTTTGAGCCCAGGATTGTGCTCGGTGATGTGAGGGGTAGCAGAAAGGCTAGTTCCCTGACTCAAGAACATTTACACCTTTTAGGGGAGAAAAGACTCAAACATGTGTCTAAAAATTCAAAAATGCCTGAAAACTGTATCCAAGCAAAATGAGGAAATAATCCGTGAGGACAAAGGCCAGTTTAGCAAAGCATCCTGGTTGGGGTGGGCTTTTATCCAGCCTTGAAAGGATGGGGCAGGTTGTGGAGGAGGTCAGGAGGCATTCTTGGTGAGGGTACAGCCCAAGCGAAGGCAAGGTGACAGGACCCTGTACGCAGGACAAGAGAGACAGAAAGATGTAAAAGGATTGAGGAACTATTATGGGGAGATAGACCTAGAACAAAAAAAAAAAAACAAGAACTCACAGAGAAGGAAGGGAAGGGCTTTTCAAGCAGAGGGAACAGCATGGGCAAAGTCAAGATGATCGACAGGTATATGAGGTGTTCGCAAGGAATGGGACTGGGTAGATGTGGAGAGGCTGTGAGCCAAAGGCCTTTAATGCCACACGGAGGAGTTTTGTGATGAAAGCAGGTGGGAAGTGGGATCATGGCAGTTTCCTGGACAGGAGTGACAGGTGATAAAAGTGGGCCTCTGGGTTTCTGTGCCGCTGTCCCCTTGGGGTTTCCCACAGAAGGAATTAGAGCAGAATCATTTCCGTGATTACACATAACATTCGGACTGCTAGCTGGTGTTGTAGGATTTCTAGCCCACCTGCTAATTTTTGTAAAAGAAATACTTCTGATTGTGATAGTGCATCAGCTTCCTCCTGCAAAAGAGAAATCGTTTCTTTCCGACACAGTATTTTCATCCCGCTCTCAATGTTCCAACGAAGCAGTCGGGCTTCCGTGTTTTCCAGCTGAATATTTTTATCATAAACTCCTGTGAGCCCTGCCTGGCCACTGTGGTTGTTAGCCATGTCTGAGCATAGAGGGGAAGGGAGCTGGGGGAAGGGAGCTGGCCTCTCCATGTTCCTTCTCACTCTGACCTGCCCCTGCTGGCTCCTGGCCCATGGCTGGGTCTTTGTGGTGCTTGGCTTTCCCTGCCTGTGAGGTGGGTGGGCTCCTCCTTGGGGGATATTCAGTCCCCAAGGTCATGGGTCAGCCAGTATCTCTGCAGACAGGTGGCCTTCCCAGGACCCATCCTGACTGGTGTGTCTTTGACCCTTCCCACCTGTGCACTGAGCTTTTACCAGAGCATTCTATGGGAGCGCCTGGGCATGGTGGTATCCAGGAGGAGCTGTGGATCCCCACCTATGTTTTCCCATGGTGATCTCCGATGACTCGTATCTTCACACTATGTATTATGATCAAAGATACTGACAAGGCGCTCGCTGTGTGCCAGGCACTGCTCTGAATACGTCCCACCTTACTAACTCCTGTAGTGCTGCCAACAACCAAGTGAGGTAGGTGCTATGATGAGCCCCATTCTACGCTAAGGAAATGAGGCCTAGAGAAGTAGGTTACCTGCAGGCACTGGGCAGAAGTGGGGCTTGAACTGGCGGTCCAGCCCCAGAGTCTGTGTTCTCCACCTCCTCTCTGGGTGAGGCCCTGCTAGACTCATCTCTGGACACCTCTGGCGAGCCATCCTCTTGCCATATTAGTACCAACCAGTCTGAGTCACATAAGTGTCTCGCAGTGACTCAGGCAGAGGGCCATTAACGCCTAATGCTCCCGCTCCCTCCTTTATCGTTTAAGATTCAGCAGACATGTTACTTGCTCATCCTCGGAAGATCTGACCCCTTCATTCATTATGCCTCATACCTGATAGAGACCTGCCAGGGTACCTATAATATTTTATCAAACTTATTGTTGGTATATCTTGGTCCTGTTAGGCAATATCTTTATTTCTGATTCTTGTGTGTGGCACATAATAGCACTCAGTAAATGCTACTGCATATATCAATGAATGTAAAATGCTTCCCAAAGACATGATGGAGGTGTTCAAGCTTGGCAGGAAGTGGTGGACGGAGCTCGAGCGGCCGATGGAGGTTGGTCTAGACCAGATGACTCAAGATGCCTTCCAGCTCTGACAATAAACAAGTCTTTGGGGGTTGCAATGATAAGCAATGCAGAGGGGGTTGCTTTCATGAAAGTAAAAAGCCGCCTGAATCGAAGGAGGATATTGGGAGACTAATACTCCCAGTTCTGTCTCTTATTCACCATGACTTGGGGCACGTTACTTCCCTCTCTTGGCCTCAATTTCTTTCGTAATTAAAATGGGGAAAAATACTTGAGTAAATGGGTGCCTTTCCCCTCTCCTCATCCAGTCCCCGTAAGGTCACTGCCAGGGGAACTCGGTACAGATCTAGCCCAGTGTACACAGTAAGGGCGTGTACAGGGACAGAAACATGGAATCCCCTTTCTGTACCCAGAGTCCTGACTCTGCTGCCAGGTCTCAGGACCCTGGCTCTTTTCCACTCCAGAGGAAAGGAGCTAATCCTCCTTGTGAGAACCAGATGAGATGTGAACATATAAGCCCTGCATAGACTGGCCTGGATTGTACTGAGGGAGGCTGGACTGAGATGCAAGCCTTGGTTTTCTCTGGTACCAGCTTTATTGCTTTGAGCAAGAAATGTACTCTCTCAACCCTTCTTTCCTCACCCGTAAAGTGGGAATGAATGGTAACAACGCTGACATTCCAGAGTTGCTGGAGGGGCTGCAATGAGGTGTTGAGTGTAAACGACGTGTGATGAGGACTGCCCTGCTGGGCATGCTTGCACAGCGAATATGGAGCTAATATGGAGATGCTTAAGTCAGGTTCACGTAAACCCTCTGGTTGCCTTGGGCAAACCTCCTCTGCTCTTTGGGTTTTGGTTTCTCCACATCTACCCTCAAGGTGTTGGGCATTCAGATAGTTCCAGGAATGTGGCTAGACAGTGTCTTCTCACCGGATTGCCTACTGATTTATGTTATTCTTCTGATAGAGTGAAGGGGTGTGCAGGACTTCAGGCACTGGCTGAAATCTAGGCCCCAGGCTGGGCGACCCGTGTGCCCCATGCGCCCCATCCCGCCAGCTCCCAGCTACAACTTGTGTACCGCTCCTCCCTGGGTCGTTGTTTTATATGCTCAGTGTCATGCACACGCTGATTCGGTTCTTGTTGCAGCTCGTATGCATCGATCTGGTGGCCGCAGGTCTACCGGCTCAGCTCGGGAACTGGAAGACGTCTAAGTATAGACAGACTTTTTTCCTCTGGGCAATAGCTTCCATCTCTGCCACACCAGCAGCCCCCTGATTGCCACCTACCGGCTCTATAGACTTCTTTGGTCTTTCTCTTGTGGCTGATCTAGCTTGCTGCTTGGTCTTCATCTGCAGACACTTAATTCATTTCAAAACACTCTCCCTTGTTATGATTTCAGAGGGAAATCCCTCCCCTCCCCATCCCCAGTCATCCTATAAGCTAATGCCTCCAGCCTGCAACCTCCTGGCTAGTGCTTTCTTCTTTGTGGCATTTAACTCCTTTGTTTTGTGATCAGCGTTGGAGCTTATATTTTCCTGTCCCTGGGAAAATGTCAAGGGGACACAGATAATCAGGGAAATCGTAGGTGGAAATTGTTGTTTATACAGGCAGGAGGCAGGCCAGGAGCTCTGAGAAGGGGCTGAGGGAAAAGTTTCCAGCAGGTTAAGACCCAATTTCATTAGGAAGATCAACTGAACTTAATTCTTATCTGAACTGGATTAAGGGTCTTCAACTGCAGGGCCTCTGTACACAAAAGGAAAAACAGTGGAGCTAGATAAAGGGGTTCTATACCTGTGTGGTCAGCGATGTACAAGTAATGTATGACTGAATCTACATTGCCACAGGCCCTCATGGGTGAACGCTGACAAAACTAGAGGGCTGTTACACAATCCACACATAACTGTCTGAAAAACAACTGACTTGAGACTTTGCTAACCAAAAAGTTAACGAGAAGCTTCACAGTGCCTTCTCCAAGCCACAGTGGTGGTTCCTGGTGCTGGGGCAACCGGCTTACATCTCATCTCCATTCCTTTCCAGTGAGGAAGAGGCGGCTCGCAGACTTGACTGGGCCCATCATTCCCAAGTGCCGGAGTGGCGTCTAGTGTGTGGCAGCGACGACCACGCTCTTGAACTGGACATGTTCTACTGATACTCTGTGCTCTGCAGTGGAAACCAGGAGGCAAAATGCCGGCACAAAACCCTTTTGTGGTTCAGTTCTTTATGCACTAAGGTTTTAGGTTAACTAGTGGTTGTAGTTGAAAATTTTATAAACTATGGTTAATGTGAAGTTTTTCTTTAGTCACAGGAGTTCAGTCTGGTTATTATTTAAAAACTAAGACGCCCCTGAACCGGCAGATCTTACTGATGATGCTATAGCAGCAGTGACTTACCCCCAAGAGCCTGGTTTGGGTGGCCTTGCTATGTGGTGTTTCAGGAGTATTTAAAATGTGCAACCCATGAACAAACAGCACACTCTTCCACAAGATTTAGAAGCATTATAAAATATTTATTACAAATTTGATCTTATCTGGTTAGCAAACAGATCATAATTCTTTATTAACCCTCCTTTAAATTTTAAGAACTTCGAGATTAAAGTTGCCAAATTGATTACCAGATCAAGAATATAATTATGCCCCTCGAGAAAGACAGAAAGACGGGAGCCACAGAGCTCTGCCAGGAATCATAGAACACGAGAGTCCTTTTGCTGGAAATAAGGAAATGACAGAAAAGCCAATGGTAAGATTTCAAGTTTCAAAAACCAAGCCCAGGCACCAGACATCTCCCTGAGTGTTCCTTATGAACAGCTGGGATTTAATTATAATCAATACCGGCGTCAGAAAGAATTTTGTCCTTATCGAATGCCAACCTTCTGATGGATGTGAAAACCTATGGCCAAATACTTGAAAACACCTTTCTGTGTTGCACCGTGGGCTAACGGCTTATGAGGTCAAACATTAGAGGGATGCATTTCTCGTCCACCGTGGTTATGCTGACAAACTTCAACGACCTGTGGTCGCACCTATTAGACAAGTCATTGCTAACCTCATGCCTGTAAAAGTTAAAGCCTCTGGAGGCCAGTGGTGAAGATCCAGATATTAAAGAATTAGGAAACCCTGGCCAAACCGTCCCAAGATGATTATTCTGAAAACATAATTTTGGTATTTCTGCCGCCTCCTTTTTTTAACATCATGTGCACCTCTTGGGGTCCAGCAAAAATGTTAAGCCACAGTGCCCTTGTGCCTTTTAATATACCACAGTGCCAGTTAAGCTACTATTTCTGTTGCTTAGGGAGTTATTTTCATGAGTGATTGGGCAAATCTTATGATAAAGGACAGGCTAAAGAGCTGATGAGCACAGACTAAGCTGCAGAGCACTGAGCAGAGGCTTTTGACAATAAAGAGTCTTGCACACTGAACTGTGATGACGTGGACAGTACAGGGTAACCAGAGGTGGAGCCAGGGCCTCACCACTATGAAAGAGTGTCTCCTGAGGCTGCACATGGGCCCAGGAGTGGCACCGTGCTGCAGGGACAGCCATCCCCACCGGCTTCTCTTTGAAACACAAATTGCAGCTCTATTCTGCATCACTGGAAACTGCAACATAATATTAAATCTGTTGGTCTATGAATGGCTGCGTATGTGTTTCTTGGGACCTATGTGACAAGGAAGGCTGGGAAACTGCCATGGCAGCGTGCTGAAATGACCTTCACTCAGAATGTCTTATATCCCGAGGTGCTCATATGTCAGTGTCATCAAGCTAATCTGAATTTCTCAAAAAGAGAATACTTAACAGCTAAGAGTGTTGTGAGTGTTGGAGGAAGTAGAGATTAGTAGGGGGAAATCTCTCACAGAACCAAATCAATAAAAAATGAAGGTGGGCCACATCTTTAAGACCATCTGCTCCATCAGATGAGCTTGTCTAGACCAGGAGGTGGCAATTTTTTCCTGTAAGGGGCCAGAGAGCAAATATCGTAGGCTCTGCAGGCCATAATGTTTCTGTTGTAAATACTTCATTCTGCCATAAATCCTATGTAAATGAACAGGTATGGCTATTCCACTAAAACGCTGTTTACAAAAGCAGGAGGTGGGCCAAGTGCTGGGGTCTGCAGATCCTGGTCTAGTGCGCTCAGGCTAACAGACACGAGGTGAGGGAGGGGTGGATGGCAGGTGACCTAGGGACCTGGTTCCTAGGAGTGTAATTCAGGGGCCACAGCTTTCACACTTTGGCCATCAGAACAGACAGGTTTGGTGACAAGAAAAATTATTACTACCAGGCTTGCTGCATGGCACAGAGCGGGCATGACCTGGCCACCAGGCTCACGGCTCTATCCCTCGGCAGCTTTGGGATCCCACACAGCTCACCATTTTCTGCGCTCTAGCATCTTCTGTGTCAGCATGTCAGGGAAGTGGTCAGCACCCAACTCCCTTTTCCCTCCTCCTGTGAAGCGTAGGTGGCCAATATGGTGACCAGTTGGCCACAGTGGTATTGGACAGCACTAAGGCCTCCCGTTTCTCTGCTGCTGCAGCCTTGATATTCTCCAATACGGGGTCGTTCCGCACCTAGCTTTGTGAAGGCTTAGAGGAATGCTGACGGTGCGGCTCACACAAGCACGGCCCATCCTCATCAACATCAGGCTTTGGCTCTGGGCTCACGGGGAGCTGTGCCTGCGGTGAGAGTTCGCTGGGTATGCGTGGCCGTCGGGCTGTACACTCACATTCCTCCTTAAAGCTATTCTGGGCATAGCTTGAAGCTGGCCTGTTCCCTTTCTCTTGACATGTGACACAACAGGCTGTGAATCCCTGTCCTTGGCAGGCAGGGCAGGTCAAGACGAGCTGGCGGCACTGGGGAGTGGAGCAGAGTTTATACTGGTCCCATGGGGCTCCACAGTATGAACATTCTGAGGAAGGAAGACAAGCCTTTGTTATAAACACACGTACGCGCATGTCCATACGCATGCATGCACGCACGCGTAGAGAGGCACTTCTCCAGTTCCTAAATATAACTCTTAGCTCACCAGAATCTAATATATCCTGTTACACCTGGGGAAGGTTTCTGAACAGTAAGTCTCCTGTCTTCTAACAAAAAAATGGTGCCCATCACCACTTTTTTGGGGGAGCTGGCTTCTGGGAACTGGTTTCCTGATTCCCACATTCACTGACCCATTTTCCTTTTTCCCATTTAGAAAACAGGTAGCAATGCTTCTCTCTTTCATTAACTATTCCAAAGCTGGCCAACTGCCCCTGGTTCAATCATCTTTTTCCTTTAGATCATTCCCTTTTTCACTGGGAAACAACACATCTGAATGCAGACGATCCCAAAGCTATTAATACATTCAACGTCCGCAGTCCACATACCTCTCCCCCAGGCCTGAGGTTCTCCTGCTGTTGCCAGCAGACACTTGACCACACGGATTCCTAAAGCTTGCTTGCATCATCTACCTTCTCAGGTCGTTTTTTCCTGCTGACTTCCTGTTACCATTGGTAACATCATTCTTCCTCAAGTCTCCTTACTAGCTTATCTAAGCTTCCTTTGGGCCTTCTCTCTCCCTTCAGTACTCTATCTAGCTCCCAAACAGATGTGAAGTAGCTTTCAATAAGAGATACAACATAAGACTGTGAAAATGAATTTTAAAAAATCAATCAAACTCACATCTTATTTATTATCTGAGTGGTAATGCAATCTCACTTTCTGATCCCAGGAGTTCTAGAAACTGCAATAGTCACTAGGATTGTCTGCCAGTGACCTTTCCTATTCAAGAGTGTGACATCCAGGGGTAAGAGCCATTTTTTCTTAAGGATTATTTCCATCCTTCCTTACTAATCGCCCTCATCTCATACCATGTTAGTGTGGACTCTCAACTAGTCAAACCACACACTTCACGTGACCACCCCTTCCTGTGACCACCTGTCTCTGGGCTTGGCCCTAGGTTCAGCTTCCACCTTGGAATACCCCACCCACAACATGCATACCACATGTGTCCATATATCATCTAAACTAGGGGTTCTTTTATTTTGTGCCATGGGTTTACCTGGCAGTCTTGTGAAGATTATGGACTCTGTCTTAAACAAAATATTCTTTAAATGCATAAAATAACCTACACAGGATTACAAAGGAAACTAATTATATAGAAATACAAAATACTAAAGTTATTTTTTAAAATCTGGGATATAATAAGATATTTATTAGCATGTTAAATAATAAGACTTAGTGGTGGGCCCAAGAACTATTTCCATTTTGAAGCAACGATGAACATAAATGCTATTTTGAGATACCTGGAGCAACTGTGATCTATGAAAATATTGTGATTTTCATCGACAACAGTCACAGGTACATATAACACTACTAATTTGTCGCTTACATTCATAACTGAAGGAAGTGCTATATTTAGTGAGGGGTTATGAAAATAAAGATAAAATTATTATACATATTTTCCCATCCAAATTCACAGAATCCCTGAATTCTATATACTGACCCCAGGTTAAGACCCCTGCTTTAGCCTATTAATTCAACTCCTAGCAGGAAGTTAGAACAAGGCACATTATCCTCATTTTGAAGGACTTGCCTAACTAGTAGATGGTGAAGCCAGGATCCCAGTACAGGCCTCCTGACTCCTGGTCCAGGGTTCTGTCTGCTGCACCACTGTATCTCCAACTCTGTTGGGCAATGGTGGTGCTACGTACTCTTCTTCCTATTTCAAGTAATCAGTACCAGCCTGTCTTCCAGAATGGTTAATACAGAGAGTATGCCAGATCACAAGTGTAGGTTCTGGGCCTCTGCGGACCTACCTGACACTATGTCACTGTTGTAAGACAAGGCGTAACGCTCGTCGAAAACAAACAACTTCCCTTTGTAAAAACCATCAGGAAACTCTTCCAGGTACTTGTGGATGCCACCCTTGAGCTGGAACACTTCCTTGCACACTCCCTATGTACGGAAAAACAAGAGGAAATCTCAGGAGAAAAGCAGAGACCAGTGAAGCGCCACAGAGTGGCGTGTGGTGAGGAATGTCGAAGGGGGGCTCCTGGCTCCCACTGCAGGACACTGAGAAACTGCTGACCAAGGGGTCCAGGAACCAACTGGCCAGATCTTGCCTACCAGGGGGATGGGCGACGACAGCAGTCAGGGCTTTCACTCTCTAGATCCTAGGAAGCCCAACTATTTTTGCTGCCCCCTAAATATAGGAAGACACCTGTTGGGACATGCAGTGTTACTGAATTTGTTCTTCTCAGGATTAAGCAAAAGGATTAGGAAAAGGGAGATGTTCACTAATCTTTCCCTTAGTTACTTGATGATTCTTAGAGACTGTTAAGTGCTTTTTGCATCCTGAGATTTAAGAACTTCAGATTTTGTACTTATAGACTCTAAGTTGGGGCCATACAAGGAGAAAACAACCCCCTGGCTGGCTGGAGGTGTGGAAAGCTCCACACGCGCAGTAGGAGAAGTCTCCTTCACTGCCATGCCTGCAGAGCCCCAAGGGTGGTGACTCACCTTGGCTTTGAGGTAGGCTGAACCCCGCTCACAACGGATGCCCCCAGTGCAATACATGAGTACCCTCTTCTCTCTGAAAAGTTCTAGATTTTTGTCAACGTAGCTGGGGAAGTAACTGAATTTCCTGATGTCTGGGGCTAGGCAGCCCTGGAATCGTCCCTACAACATGGGAGCAGCAGAAGGCAAATGATCAGAAAAGCACACCTGGTAAGAACAAAGGTTCTCTCTGTGTCAAACACCCCAAACCTCGGCAAGAAAATACTTGCTAGTTGCTGTTCTCAACCCACACTCTGACCTTTTAACTTCAAGATTTGGAACTCAGAAACAAGGCTGGTGGACTGTGGGTCACCTTCCCAGAGTCCTCAAGGGAACTGGAGAGGTTGCCCAAAGCAAACTCTACAAGATCCTTGATACAAGTCAAGGGTAGGTACATGGGAGCCAAAAAGTACACTATTTGCCAAGGTGTCTTCATATTCTCTTAGACTTTCTCACAAGATCCTGAGTTCAAGGCTTGGGGCTTCTCTGCAGCTGCTAGCAGTAGGAAGAGATACATGTGACTTGGCCACAGATGGGCACACACAGTGTCCTCTTTGGAAACATGCCATGCTGCAGGGACTAAATTGTGGTTCTTACTTACTATTTTGCTTTCATAGAAGTTTCTGCAGTCCACTAAAATAGTATCACTTTGCTCTTGATTTGCCTGAGACAAAAACTTTTCTACTTCTTTATGAAATTCACCAGGGGATAAATGGATTCCTAAAACCAAACCAAAAAAATTAGTTAAAACAAAATACATAAATAAAACCCAATCACATTTGGACCAGGCCAATAACTTACATGTTGCTTTGTTTCTTTCCACCTCAATTTTTTATAATTATAACTATGTCTCAAAATAACACTATCTGATGATCATGGTGAAATAATTTAGTAATTCCAGTTGTCCTCACCCTCCTTCCTCTTAAGATGAGCACTGTGTAGACCTGGAAGTGTACAAATAGTCAAAGAAGTTTGCATCCTTACACCTGATCTCACCCAATGATAAAAGCCATATACGTGGGATCTAAATTGCCATGTGGGTTTGCTAGTCCATTTTATAGCCAGTGTTCTATTGTCACTATACATGGAGGAGCCTGGACAGGTATATGCTTGACTATAAGCTTTATAAACTGTTCTATACCAAGGTCAAGCCCAAGTTCAAGGCTAAGAACTTTGGCACCCGCAGATGTGAGCATGAAGTTGTGGAATAAAGTTGGAATATGTTTTTTTTTGTTTTGTTTTGTTTTGTTTTTTTTAGCTGAGCCATCCTGCCATCTGTTGGCAGCTCAGAGGCAGCTCAGCTTGGGCATCGAACCAGCGACCTTGTTGCTCAGAGCTCGCACTCTTGAGCAAGCTCTTAACCAACTGAGCCACTCGGCCGGCCTGGAATATGTGTTTTAAAAATACAACAGGGTAAGAATAATGTGTCTTAAGTTTGTGTGCATGAGTAAAAGAGAAAAGGGTAGGAGGGGGTGATAGCAGGAATGATATATGAGAAAGAAGAGTGAGAGAGAAAAGGATGAAAAGAAGATGGAGGAGAGAAAGGAGATGAAGGTAAGTAAAATATAAGGAGATTAAAAACGAGAGAACCTGTCTGGTAGGGCCCTTTGCCCTCTCGACTCTCCAGAGTAGAAATGTTGCTGTATCTTTAGGGGTTCACACATCTCAGTAAACTGTAAGGAACTTTGGTGAATTTGGCAATGTAGAGTAAACACACCTCATGGGCGGGTGACTTCAGTCACCACCCGAGGCAGAGCTTGACAGCACCAAAAGAGCCTCTTTCCGCTCAGGAATGAATCCCAATAACCACCTGGACCTGCTGGGTACCCAGGTGGGGCTAGAGCCCCAGAGCACAGCCAACAAATGTGGATGCTGACCTGCCCAACCTAGGATTGTAGGGAGAATGTAAGAAGGCCAGGTTTTATATAAGTAATTATCACGTAATTACGTAGTCACCAAAACAGTGGGGGGAAAAGGGAGATTCAAAACTGTGGTGAGCAGCATGAAAATCTGCCATGAATTCTACTTATAGGGAGCCACCGGGAACCAAACCCATTCCCATCGCTGTTATTGCTGCTGCTCTCCTGGCTTTGCGAAGGCCTGACTGGACAGTAACTCATATGGACATGTTTAAAAGAGGTGCCTTCATGGGCCGGCTGAGTGGCGCGTTGGTTAAGAGCTGGCTTGAGACGCCAGAGGGCCCCGGTTCGGATCCCACATATGAGGGCCAGTGACACTGCCCTCTACAGCTAAGATGCTGAACAACAGCTCAACCTAGAGCTGGGCTGCTGTGAGTCGCCAGCGACAAAGGCTGCAGCCCCTGCTGCAGTGGGTTGCCATGGGCTACCATGTGTGGCCAGCAGCCGCCGTGAGCAGCCATCCAGAAGCCGGCAACTGATCTGCCTCGCCCAGGAAGAGTGCAATGATGGTGCCAACTTGGGTCAGTGAAGCAACGTCCTCCACAACTAAACTGAAGAACAAAACCACAGCAACTTGTCTGTTCCCCTTCCCCCAATTCCCCAGCGCTGTTCCCATCCCCCAACTCCAATAAAAATCTTTAAAAAAAAACAAGAAAAAAGAGGTGCCTTCAAACAACTTGGCTCAAATGAAAAAAGCACAGTACTCCCTGGAGTGCACTCTCCCTACCTTCCTGAGCAATGTCCTGTAGTGGCCAAGGAAGGGGTGTTTGTCTTCATCCTGCCTCCTGCTAAGGTAGGGACACTAAGCAGACACCTTCCCTTTTGGTCCTTCTCTCCTCGTATGTTGAGTCTCTTTTCCCAGATGCTTCTATCTTACTCCCATTTCTCCTGGCTTAACTCTTATATGCTTCTTTTCAATATTTACATATTAAAAAAATGAACAGAATCAGCAGACCTTTTGCTTCCTGATGAAAGGAGACAATACTACCTGTGAAGTAGTCTTGGAGAAAAAAAAGCAGGAAACCAAACCTGAATCTCCTCAAGTCTCAAGATCTGAGCTAATATGGTAGCCACAGGTGACTAGCCACATACACTTGAAATGTGGCTTGAGATGTGCTATAATAAAGGTGACACAGATACAGGATAGCAAGGACTTAGTATGCAAAAAAAGTAAAATAATTTTTTACATTAGATACATGTTGAAATAATATTTTAACTATACTGTGTATTGAAATTAATTTCAATTGTTTCCTTTTCCTTTTTATGGTGTGTCTATTAGAAAATACAAAATTCTATATGTGGCTCACATTATATTTCTATTAGCACTACTCTAAATCTAACTACTAATTTATAGAAAATACAGAGGACAGAGGAACATCCCATGGAGATGCAATCAGCATTATCCTGATTGAGGGAAACTCTATAGGCAAAGTGATCTAGTTCCTTCAAAAGATAAACTTTAAGGGGAAAAAAAAAGATGGCAGCAAATCTATAGGTTCACTCACTGTGATCAAACACAGTGAGTGGACCTTACCTGAATCCTATTAGAAACAAATAAAAAGTTATGAGATAACTGGGAATTTTAAGCACTGACTAGATGTTTGATAATATTAAGGAATTACTGTTAAAAATGTTTTAGGTGTGATAAATGATCTACAGGTTTTTTTCATCTTTACCTTTTAGAGATATTTACTAAATTATTTACGAATGAAATGACATGGCATTGGGATTCCCTTCCAAATAATGCAGGATGGGGAAAGGGGACAGGTATAGATGAAAGTTGGCGGTGACTCTGTAATTGCTGAAGTTGCATGATAGGTACATGGGCGTTCACTGTACTATTTTCTCTACTGTTTTAAATGTTTGAATATTTTCATAGTAAAAAGTTAATCAGAAACAAAAACAAAAGCCCTGCCAAACAAATGTCTTTCAACCATCTATGGTAACCATGAGAAAAAAGGAGAAAAGAACATTCTAGAGCACTTGCAAACAAACTGCTTTGGTGTTGAAAGCCACTTGCTTCCTGTAGCAAAAAGCTTGTGTGTTTTATTCAGTTAACAAACTATTTACAAATAATAATTACACTCTTCCCATACTGCTATCTTTGGAAAGAGAAAACAACTTCTTGCCAAATCATTATCAAGAATAACTAAGATAGGTCATTCTTAGGGGCAAGTCAATGACCACAGCACCAAAGCAAAGGCCAATTTTTGAATGTCACGAGTGTTAGCCACCCCACAGCTATTTTAAAGAGAGGATTCATTACAAGTCTTGCTGGCCAGTGTCTAACGTCCACATTTACTCTACATTGTTTTATCCATTTGAAGAAAAGCAAATTTTTTCTTCTAAAAGGAAGCATACCAGGCTTCTTGTAGGAGATCTCATTGGGACTGATCCCCATAGGCACAATTTCTTCAAATACACCAACACGCAATTCTGGAAAACAGCAAGCTCCTCCTTTGCTGGTCTAGCCAAAGAGAAACAAAACAGAATACAGTCTTTCTCTCTATCTCCAAGTATAAGACATTTGTGAGCAACACTATTCCCCCGTGTAGTGTTAAGTGCTGATGTGATCATTCACTAAAAAGGGAGTGATGCCCTGAAAGGGCCAGGAGGTCTCTCTAGTGAGCAAACACATCTAAGTTTTAGAGTCCAGACTGGGTAAGCTGTCACATCCTTATTCTTTAGGAAGGAAGGGTGAGGACCAGAGATGGCACTAAATTGCCCAAGATCACATGGAGACTTAGAGGAAGAACTGGAACAAGCATGCTCCTTCTACCGCACTGCCTTTTAACCTAATGGGGAAAAGGTATTTATTTGGCACCGCGTATTTCTCTGCAGTGACCGCCTCTTCATAACCTACAACAGGAAGAGGCGTCGAGGCAGAAGCAAATGACTCTAGATCCATTTTATTTTCAATTTCTCTTACCTTAAAATCGTCCTTACACAGATAATCCTTAAACAATGGGCAGGAAAGCATGACTTCCACATAGAGTCTCGTTGCCAGTTTGCTCCCACCAACTGTCCCATTGATTCCTTCTGTAGCAATTCGAACCTGAGACACAAGATAGTGAGAGAAAGGGAATGCAGGCTGCTCTTAGCTTCTTTAAATCTTCCCAGAGCAGAACTGGCTCATGTGTGTCAATAAGTTTAACAGAAAAGCAGACACTGCTGTGACACCAAAGTGCTACCACACAAAGATATCTGTAGTTTTCCAAAATGGCACTGCCTACAGATGAGGCACACAGTTAATATGTGCTGAACAAAAGAAAATCAATTAAACTCCTACAAGCCCCATTTGCAATGGAGCTCCACTTGTCCAATGGCCAAAGAACTGGGCTCTGAGCTTAATCCAGGTCAGCAGATCTAGAATCAAGATTCAGCTTTGCCACTTCCTTGCCAAGTGGCCCTGAGAAAATTAATTTACTTCTCTGAAACTCAATTTCTTCATCTTGATAAAACAGGGACAAAAGAGAACCAACAACAAAAAACACTGCAGGGGAGATGGTGCCCAAGTCCTAAAGCACAGAGCACATGTAAGGGCTGGGAATGGGACTGAGGTGAGTAAATCTCTGCATGGTGTTTAGGGAAAGACCACCATTGCAAACCCACCCACTGGAATACAAGTTCCGGGAACTTGTATTTTGTGTTTTGTTCACTGTTGCATAGCCAGTGCCAAGAACAGTACCCGCCACATAGTAGGCATTCAAAATGTATCTGTTGAACAAATGAACATGTATCCACATCTGAGGCTTTTCAAACCCTGTATTCTCTTTGAAATACTTCACTTGTTAGAGGATGTTAGAGCCTAGGTTAAGGGCGCTGCCTTACAAAGCAGTGCTCTGGAGGCCCTGCAAGTTAGTTGTTTTGGTTCTACAGAATCCTTTATATGAGTTTAAAGATGGATCATCTTTAGAGGGAGCTGAGCTCTCTAGAGAAAAGTGCTAAGAGAAAGTTTAACAGTGTGTCACAGTATCATGGTCTTCTCTGGAAAGAGAGGTAATTTAATTCAAGGTCCTATATTGTTGCTACTACCTATTTAATAACAGTGGTACCTCCGGATGTATAGAATTTGAAAAATTTTAAAGGCCCCTTTCATTCAGGGCCCAGAGAAGATACTTCATTTGTTGCCTCACTTGATTCAATATTTTAGGGCATGGAAATAAATGGGATTCATTTCACAAGCCAATGACAACTCAATGGTAGTAGCTATTGGAGTTCCATGATGAGCACTCTGGATTCAAACCCAGCTCTTATTGGCTCCAAATCTTTTAATTTTTTCCTTTCCAAAGCTTCCACTGCATTCCTTCAAATATCCTGAGGCAATAAGGAACGTATAGTAATAGGGATTAAGAGCTTTTTTCCATAATTCCAGAATTTTCAAGTTCTCCTCTTTGTCTACCTGAATGCTAATCTTCTGCCAATTCTCCTATCAGCAAAAACCTCTCAGTAAACTGAGCATGGATCCCTGAAGCCTAAGATTTTAGACCAAAGATCCAGGCAGGTGCTGCCACATGGTGGTCAGAAACCCTCACTGCTAGTTCACCTTGTGGGTGGGCCAAAAATAAAAATCTGCCCCTAAATCAAGGAAAGACATTGGTATCTTTTTTGTACATTCAGGTTTACTATGAGAATATCCATCTTTCAAGGTGTTCTCTAAATAGAGATTATGATAAATGTATTCATCCCACAAATGTTTACTAGTTGTTTTACTATGTGCCAGAAATTGTGCTAGGAATTAAGGATATAGTAGTTGGAAAAAATACAGCTCTTGCCCTCTTGGAGCTTAGAGACTGAGGTCACACACATTAAGGTAAAAGCTACAAATTGACAAATGCTATAAAAATTACAAGATGCTATGAGAGTATATTTGGAAAAATGAATATAGATTGAAGATCAGGAAACCTCTTTGAGGAAGTGTCGTTAGAATTGAGAACTGAAGGTAGAGTACAACTTAGGAGAAAACAAGTGGGTGTGGGAGAGTTCCTTGAAGAAGACTTTTCTTATAAAAAGGCCCAAAGACACAAAAAACTTTGTGGGCTCCAAGAAACTGAAAGCCCCAGTCACTGGAGTGTAACAAGTAAAGAACGGTATCAGATAAGCGGAAAAGGTACAAAGGGGCCAAGTCATGTGGGAACCTACAGGCATGTTCAGGATCTGGGTTTTACTCTAAATTCACTGGATAGCCACTGAAAGGTTCTGAGGAGGGAGTGATATGATTTTATTTAACTTTTAATATCATTCTGGCTGCTGTGTGGAGAATGGATTAAATGGCAGGCAAGGATGGAAGAATGGAGAGTAGTTTGTAAACTACTGAAATGGACTGGGTCTGAGAGCGTGGGGGCTTGGTCTAAGGTGGTGGAAGTGGAGAGAAATTAATAGAGTCAAGGGATATTTTAGGTAGAAATGGCAGGACTTGATAATGAACTGAACGAAGTAAATGAAGCTTTCGTTCACTACCTGTTGGAAAACATGGATGTGGAAAGCTATCACTGACGATCAAATGATTGATTGCCTCAGAGAATTAAAGCCTGGGACGTGTGGGAAAGGTGAGGGGCTGATGCCAGAGGGGATCTCAGACGGAACCTAGTTCACTTTCTTTTGATTTAAATTTTAAAAATAGAAACTATACACACACATGTGTATATATGTAATCAGGGATATTAAAAAAATAATAAAAACAAGAAAATAAAAACCATCCATAAGACTCTTGTAGAGAAAATCACTGACTAACATTTTGGTATCTGCTACCTTCCATCTTTACACACACACACGTGTGGTTTTGTTACAAACATACTTCATTCCTTTATTCAACATTCTCCAAATATTTACTGTCTGTCATGTGTAAGCCCTATTCTAACACCAACAATACATCAATTAAGACAAAGTTCTTGTCCTCATGAAGCTTATGTTCTGCATTATATATAGAAGCTTATACTCTAGAAGCTTACGTTCTAGATTACAGAAACTTATATGACCTATATTATAGGTCATAGTTTATATTCCATATTATATTCTATATATTTCTATATAAGCTTATATTCTATATTATAACATAGAAGCTTATATTCAGATAGTAGTAAATTCTTTAAAATTCTCTGAGCAGAAGGGGGTAGAAAGTGATGAGGTATACAGAGGACTACTTTAGGTTAGTGTTCTGAGAAGATAACATTTGAGCAGACATCTGAAGTAAGGAATGAGCCATGTGAAGATCTAGGGAAACAGCATTCTAGAGCAAAAGGAAACAGCAAGTGTCAATAGCACAAAATGAAAAACCCTGAGAAGTTCTAGGAAAATTAAGAAGCAACTCGGAATCATACCTACGTGTATAGTTCCGTAAACCGTTTTCTTCAGTTACTATATCAAGAACATTTCCCTATGCCAGGGGTCAGCAAATATGTCTGCTTTTGCATACAGGTTTGTTGGTACATAGGCAAACCCATTCTTTTACATAATGTCTACAGTTGTTTTCATGTTACAACAGCAGGTTCAGTACCGTATTTGCCGGCGTATAAGACGACTGGGCGTATAAGACGACCCCCTAACATTTCCACTCAAAATACAGAGTTTGTTATATACTCGCC